AGTGACCCTCAGAGATCTCTGGCTGTTCGCCTCCTTTCTGGTTTTCTGCAGATTGTTTTTGTGTTATTGTGGACAGAGACCTGCCCCTCTCTGATGAAGAGCCACCCCTCTTTCCCACAAGACTGGAGAAAGAGCCATTGCTTGTGGACTTGAACTTTACAGGCCACCCAGGAGGCCTTCATAGAAGACCCCAAACATCCACCTCAAGGTTTCACTGACATTATGCCATAATTCAGGCAAGCTCTTAAAACCAAGTCAGCCTCCATTTGGTAACAATCCATGACTCTTTTTGTCATCAGTTTTTTTTTTAACAGTTTATTTTTACATCATTTTGTACATTTTTTTTTCCATCTCAAATTGTAATCCCCACGGGTTTCCCATCACCATGTCACCCGTGTGCCATCACCAAAATCCCTTGCACTTCCCTCCCTCCCGCCCCCGTTTTTGTCATCAGTTTTTTATTCATAGTACAAATTACTTCACAGATGAGGAAATGGAGCATTGGTTTTCTTTTTTGTTTAGGCAGGTAAACTCTCCACAGTCCCCTGTCTTTGGAATAAGGTAGATAACTCCCAGCAGCCCCCTATGGAACCTGCTTCTCTCTTAGTGGGCAGGACACTTGAGACCAGGGCAGACTTTGTGTCTGGGTAGTATGAGAAAACTGTCCTGCCTCCCAGAGCTAGTGTCCATGGAGTGCCAGCCTGCATCAGGAGCTACTTGACAGTTTTATGAGGACCAGCCACACCGAAGAGGGTACTTGTCCCCCCATCCACTCATCTCTGAGAACTGGGACCATGTAAAGAAAAGCCAACCCCCAAAGGCATGAAGTGGGGCCCGGTCTCAGAGCCAGACCACAGGGCTACCCACAGGCCACCCCACTGGCATCTAGTTTCTCTCTGGCAGTCCTGGGAGAGATCACTTTTTGGTTAGGTTTATAGCTTGACTTCAAAAGTCACTTTGCCCCTGCCTCATTTCCCCTTGTCACCAAGCAATTCTAATGCCTTCTCACTCTGTGTGACTATAATGAGGCTGTTTTTTTTTTTAATAATAGTTTATTTTTACATCATTTTGTACCTTTTTCCATCTCAGTTGTAATCCCCATGGGTTTCCCGTCACCAGATCGCCCGTGTGCCATCACCATAGTCCAGTGCACTTCCTCCCTCCCCCTATTTGATCCTATTCCCACTCCACCCCCGTAAAATGTCTCTGGTATATAGTTGTTCATATTATTTTTCACCCTGGTCCTTTATGCTCCTGCTATGAGTGAAACCATCCAGTAGTTTTCTTTTTAAAGAGGCCTTTTTAAATGAAACTTTATAGCACTGTTGTCTTTCAAAGAAGGCATCTCACATAGTTAGACATTTTGCTCAGTGATTCTACAGAGTGAGTTTAGAATTCCTTTGTGGGGTGTTGCCTGCAAAAGCTGTTTGCACCACGATGGAAATTCTCAGGGTTTATGGCCACACCTCATCTTAAACCAGAGACAGGGTAAACAGCCTGGTCATATCATCCTGTGCCCCTCACCAACTTCCAAATGCATAGTGACCATTTATTCCCTAAAAAGGAAGATTTACGCCATTGAAGAAATTCATATGAAAATAATGTAAACTCTGAAAACTGCACATTGAATTCCAAAACTGTGACCGCTGTCTGTCCAAGGTGACCATTCTAAAGGACGGTACTCCCTGGGCTAGTCGCCCCTGCTCAGGGGGTAAGCACCACACCTGTCCTGTGAGCCTCACACACTCAGCACCCTTACCCTCTGGAATGCCTGTTATGCCTTCTCTGGGCCCCATTGTATGAAGTCATGGTTCCTTTCCCTTCTGAAAATCTCCAGTTCCCGTGCATTCTCCTCCTGCTGGTCCACATGTTGTGGGACCAGGAAGCAGAGCTCTTAACCACTCTGCAGGGCCTTAGTTCCCAGTGTGTTTAATAAGGGTCATGACCCTAAGGAAGCTGCCAAGTCCTGAGAGGAGAAGGTGCCTCCTGTTCTGGGCATTAGACACTTGCAGCTAGTGATGGCCCTGGCAGGCACACCACAAACATGAGGGAAATGCATTTAAGATTTCCCGTGGAGTTGCCTTAGAGCCAGTTGCTCTGACTCTCACAAGCATTTTTTTTTTTCATCCACATGGTAGCTGAATTGAAACATTCTAATCATCAGTGCTTAGTGAAGAAAAAACAGTCCCTGCCTTCCTCCTAGAATAACAAATGAATATTCATGAAGCAATTATTTGTTGAGCTTGTTGGGGTTCTCAGAAAATCTGAGACTGAAGTATCTACATGATCTGGGGAGTTAGAAAATTCTTGGGGGAGGCAGACAGTGAACACTGATGGCCAGGGCAGAGGATTGGATGTGCAGCAAGTCATTTTAGGCTTCAAAAGGGAACACACAAAGCAGAAAGTAAAAGAGAAATGAGCTTTTGGGGGGGGGGAGATGGCCACACCTCATTGCCATGAGATTGAATTGCTGAGATGTGCTTGCGATATGTCATGTGTGACATGACCTATCACAGGATATGTCATATGATTTTAAGGAGTTGGGGAATGCAGGTCATGAAACTGAGTATCTGAGGCAGAATGGGTAGGAATAAGAGTCTTTGTAGGTTTTTTTAAAAGATTTATTTATGTATGTATTCAAAACTGGGGTATAGGCCAGAGTACAGGACCAGTGAGAGATTTCACCAGAGACACAGTGGGGAGCAGAACAAGCATACTGATGGAGTGCACTGTTGAGGGGAGCAGCAGGCGGGTCAGGAGAGGTCTGCCGTGCCATGTGGGCCACCTCCCTGGCAGTTACTGAACTCGCACTGAAGTGGCTGTGGCCAACTTTGTAGTGCTGCACTTGAATCCGTTGTGTACCAAGGAGGGCCCCTTTGTAATTTTTTCAACAAGAAAGCTGACAGCATGGTGAAAGTCTTACTGTAATAAGATTGTCTGCAAACAGTGTGCAGTGATTGTTTGCGATGCTCCTCAGAGAAGGAACCAGTGAGGCCTCCTAACAACCTAAAGCCGGTGGCAGAGGAGAGAAGAGGAGTCAGTACTGCCAGAAGGTCCTGCCTAAGATCTCAAACTGAGGCATTTGCTGAGAGAAGTGGAAGTATGTGATGGGGAGGGGAGCTAGCTGAGGGCTTGAAGGTGTGAACAATCTGCTTGGAAGTGAGCAACCAGGTGACACATGAATGTGTCCTGGAAGCTTTGAGAAATGAGAGCTTAGGGGCCTTTGGAAAGAGTCCTCACAGATTTTCCAGGCAGTTCCATAGAGGATGTGAACTTATCAAGTCCGTGACTGCACAGACAGACAAACCTCCCAGAGAAGGTCGACTAGTTCTGTCCTGCTAGGCTGACACTCTGTTGTGTCAGGAGCTTGTCTTTGTGGCAGGGATCTGGCTTATAGCCTAGAACGGCAACAGCCAAAGTATGGCTGCACATCTTAGGTATATATCAGCAATCGTCCAATATTTACCTGTGAATCTTTGAATCTAACTCTCCAACCCTTTCAACCCCCCCCAGGAGACCAGCTGGTGAAGACAAAGGTCTCCCAAAACTTACAACCCCCTCCCCACATGTGGCCAGAGACCAATCAGGTCCTGCTACAGAGTCCCAAGCATTCATACCCACACTGCTT